GAGGAGTCAAGCCGACTCCTGATTGGTCAGAGCAATTAGGGGAGGAGTCGGTTGAGAGAGGGAAAAAGGCTGTCAGGTTTTGACAGGAGAGAGAAGTGTCTTAACATCAGACACAGAAGGATAGGATTTTAGGAGAGGAAGCTAAAATAGGGTTCTGACAGGAAAGAAAGCTAGAAAGTGAGCCTTAAGGTTAGGGAATAAGGTTGAGACAAAGGCTAGGGTTTTACTGTGTTGAGAGGACCAGTAAAAGAGAGTTTTGTCTTATTAAACTTAGGAGAAGTTTAAGATATCTTATTGCCCTGTGTGTGAGACAGACAGGAGTCTGTTCTCTAAGAGTTACTGTTTCTAAGGATAGAACAGTGTGTTTAAGGAAACTCACAGTTTTAAAAGCTTTTTGGTCAGTAGAACTAACTATTTAATCCAACTAAGTCTCTGCAATTGAATTACGCTTCTGTACCGCTCATTCTATGAGTAGATGTTTGTTTAAAGCTCAATAAACCTTTTCTAGTTCACTTTTAACTGGTGTCAGCTTCAGTTTGTCAAGCACTTTTAAAGTCCAGTCAGCCAGTTAAGAAGCAATAGAAGAACCAGGGCAAACACACCTTACCTACAACACATTCACACCTTTGGTTCCTCAGGCCAATAAAGCTGAGGTGGTGGCAGCTAATACTACCAATAACATCGATCATTGATTTACTTAATCCATGGTCAACAGCTAATTTTACTATACTGGTGGCAGCGGTGGGATTCTTTGTTCCCCCCTGCCCAGATATTAAACTGATATACCTTGGTATGTCTTTGTATTGGGATGATGGGTTATGACCTGTTAGGGGAACAACCCATTAGAAAGTAGTTACTGAAGTGTGCCTTTAGTTTATTGGGTAATGGATTTTTTAAAAAATTATTTTTTGTCGTCAGAGAATTGGCCGTCTGCAAGGACGTTGCCCAGGAGACGCCCAGATGTTTTACCATCCTTGGGGGAGGCTTCTCTCATGTCCCCGCATGAGGAGCTGGAGCTGATAGAAGGAGCTCATCCGTGCACTGCCCTGCGACCTGTCGGTCTTCAGTCCTGCTGGCACAGGAGTTTAACCCACTGCGCCACCGGGGGCTCCATGGGTAATGGATGATCACTGGGCACATAGATATGATGTTTCTATTTGATGCTCTCAGCAGACAAATATTCAAATAGACTTCTTTTAAAATACCCAGTTTGTTTTACTCATAACTTTATGTAGTTAAATATGCAGGCACAATTCTTGTCAGGTGAAATTTTAAAACGTTTTGGTTGTTATCTTTAACTTATAGTCTTTAACAATCTCTTCAAAATGGCATTTCTCTGTACAGCTTTTCCTTATAACCATCTACTTACAAAGAACTCAAGGCTCAACTGACTTCTAACTTCCGGTCCTGGCTTCTCTACTCAAACAGACTCAAGCCTCAATTGTCCTTCTTTGAAAGTGCATTCTAAACAGTCACTAAACCAGTCATATGTTCTGCAGCCCCTCCCACTGCCTCAAGTACATAGAGCTAAGAAAACTGCAAAACAAAGAAGACATGCACTTCAGGAAATTATTATTATTATTATTATTATTATTATTATTATTAGGTTCTTGTGGGTTTTTTCGGGCTATATGGCCATGTTCTAGAGGCATTCTCTCCTGACGTTTCGCCTGCATCTATGGCAAGCATCCTCAGAGGTAGTGAGTTCTGTTGGAACTAGGAAAATGGGTTTATATATCTGTGGAATGACCAGGGTGGGACAAAGGACTCTTGTCTGCTGGAGCTAGGTGTGAATGTTTCAACTGACCACCTTCATTAGCATTTGAAGGCCTGCCTGAGCCTGGGAAAATCTTTTGTTGAGAGGTGTTAAGATGTGCCTGGTTGTTTCCTCTCTGCTGTTTTGCTGTTGTAATTTTAGAGTTTTTTAATAGCCAGATTTTGTTCATTTTCATGGTCTCTTCCTTTCTGTTGAAATTGTCCACATTCTTGTGGATTTCAATGGCTTCTCTGTGTCTCTTTGTTTATACCCCCAGGCTCAGCCAAGCTTTGAAATGCAGGTGAAACGTCAGGAGAAATGCCTCTAGAACATGGCCCTATAGCCCGAAAAAACCCATAAGAACCTAGTGATTCCAGCCATGAAAGCCTTCGACAATACATTATTATTGTAAATTAATGTAAACTACATGACAAGATGAAAGTGGCTCCGCTGAATGCAAATCACTGTGCGGACAGGTGTGCATTCTGCTCAGGGATATTAAAAAAAAATATCTTGGAAGTCTTTTGAGCTGTGGTGTTGGAGGAAAGTTCTGAGAGTGCCTTGGACTGCGAGAAGATCCAACCAGTCCATCCTCCAGGAAATAAAGCCCGACTGCTCATTTGAGGGAAGGATACTAGAGACAAAGTTGAAGTACTTTGGCCACATCATGAGGAGACAGCAAAGCCTAGAGAAGACAATTATGCTGGGGAAAGTGGAAGGCAAAAGGAAGAGGGGCCGACCAAGGGCAAGATGGATGGATGGCATCCTTGAAGTGACTGGACTGACCTTGAAGGAGCTGGGGGTGGTGACGGCCGACAGGGAGCTCTGGCGTGGGCTGGTCCGTGAGGTCACGAAGAGTCGGAGACGACTGAATGAATGAACAACAACCATCTTGGAAGTCAAGCCATGGATATTGTGGATCCTGGAACCAGCTTGAGGCCCTTGAACCGATTCCAGGATGTCTGCACAGGAAAACCACTTTTTTCAATAATGGTTTGAAACAGACTTAAGTAGCGTTGATGTGCCCTTGATCTTGAAAATAATAACTGCTTCCATGCAGAAGGGGAGACTCCAACCCCCTTTTTAAAGGGTTGCTCATAAGGAACCCTTTTGTGGGGTCTTGTACTCCTCACTCCAGTAAATGTGGAAGACTGACTTATACATGTCTCCTATATTCCTTCCTAATTGTACACTTTACTTCAGTTTGCTGCTTCTTTTGGGGTTTATACATTTTGTAAGTCACCTTGAGGTTTCTACTGGAAAAGAAAACGAAACCTTCTTTAGACCTCAGGTATAACATTATATCATATCATCTATATAAATAAAAATGTAATGTATTGTCGAAGGCTTTCATGGCTGGAATCACTAGGTTCTTGTGGGTTTTTTCGGGCTATAGGGCCATGTTCTAGAGGCATTTCTCCTGACGTTTCGCCTGCATCTATGGCAAGCATCCTCAGAGGTAGTGAGGTCTGTTGGAATTAGGACCATGGGTTTATATATCTGTGGAATGGCTGGGGTGGGCAATATAATGTTCGTTTGTGGGATTAACATAACTCAAAAACCACTGGACGAATTGACACCAAATTTGGACACAATACACCTATCAGGCCAACAAGTGACCATCACTAATAAAAACACTGAAAAACACAGCAGAAGAGACTTAAAAAGCCAAGACATAAAAAAATACACTACAACGCACATGCAAAACCACATATATACACACAAACACATATACACAAATATATGCACATGCAGATACACATATAAACACACACACACAAAACACAAATACACAGACCGGGCCACAGCATCGTGTAGCAGGGGACAGCTAGTTTAGTCATAAAACCCTTCTGCACGAATGCCTTCAGCATTAGAAGCAGGATTATCATGAAATTATGATTTCCAAAATTAGACTTCCAGAATAAGCAGACAAACCTCTTCAATGCCTTAAGAGAGATGGTTTTAAACAGTGGATTTTAATGTTGAGATAAATTATTGTAATGTTTATGTTTGTGTATAATATATTTCTGTCCTGGCATTGAACGTTTGCCATTTGTATGTTGTGCTTTGCCCTGAGTTGCCTTCAGGGTGAGAAGGGCAGAATATAAATGTTTTAAATAATAAATAAATAAATCCAGGCAAATCCTCTTTCTGTCTTAGAACATTACCTGTGTTGGCAGTTTGCTCCCAAACAGCCTCAATCAGAGCTTCCTGCAGATTTTCTATTGCACAGAGAAGAAAAGAAAGGAAACAATGACTGCAGCCATTTTCTGGACAAAAACAAACTCTCAGAACTGACACAAAATTCTTCTTATAAATTCAGACCAATTTGTTTGCAATCAAACAATTAAAAAATCAAAACATTATAAAAACAGTTAAAGAATGAAACAAAATTGTGAACTAAATCCTACAGATGGACCTTATTTGCTGTGTGCTATGCATCATCACAGTTTTTCCTGCTTTAATTATTTATTAATGGTGTTATTATCTACTCAAGTTCTACAGGATACATAACAAAACATCAAAGTTATGCTGCAGAGGATTATTATTAGTATTTTTAGTGTTAACCACTCCTTTGGAAGACAAGATGCAGGATATAAATACTACTATTGTTACAATATCATGGTGATGCAATGGGTTAAACCCCTGTGCCGGCAGGTCTGAGTTGGAGCGCAGATGAGCTCCCTCTATCAGCTCTGGCTCCCCATGCAGGAATAGGAGAGAACCCTTTCACAAGGATGGTAAAACATCAAAACATTCAGGCGTCCCCTGGGCAATGTCCTTGTAAACAGGCAAGTCTTTCACACCAGAAGCAACTTGCAATTTCTCAAGTTGCTCCTGACACAAAAAACAAACAAACACTTAAAATCATATAAATTAACCCCTAACAGGACTTCTTAAAAATACACAACTAAAAGCATTCAAAGAATGTAAAAACCTGTCAAAAAACATAATACACAGCATACCTGACTCAAGCTTAAAAACTTTCTTTGTTACATTTGGAGAAATTACACCATTCTTAGTACCTTTGTAGGACTCTGTGGCCTTTTGTAAAGCAGAGATCTCCTGAGAGGTAACTTTGAGTCTCTCGGTCAAATTTGGAGAAACATCTGGCACATATGCTCCTAAATTCTTCTCACATCTGGAAGTGAACATAGTCAAGTTTAAGGAAAATTAACCAAAACTCAGTTTCCATCACTCTTGCTGGATTATTTTGGGCTTGGCCTCATGTTAGCTGCCCTGAGTCCCCTTTGGAGAGATGGTGGTGGGTTATAAATAAAGTATTATTATTATTATTATTATTATTATTATTATCTTCTGGCAATGCTTGATGTTCGACCAGGGTGAATTATGGAATGATGCCCCAATCCGCCGTTTCATAGTTTGAGGACTTTTGAATAAAGATCTTATTTATTTCAAACATTAGTTACCCTTATGCTGCTTAGCCATCATAGTGACTTACAAAAATTGCAAAAGAACTCCAAAGCCCAGAATAAAATAGAAAAAAGAAGAAAAAAAACACCAATTAATTTAACAGAGAAATATGCTCAAGAAAAAAACTAATAAGAATGCACCATAGCAGCAAAAGTATAAAAAGTCCTGAGGAAATAAACAAGTCTTTCCCTGGCATTGAAAAGATAAGAAAGGGATGAGACTGACTTGTCAATTTCTGCTCATTTTAAGAAAAAAAATAACATCTGAAACACTGGGTTTGGAAGAAGCAAAACTGGCCCATCCTCCTATTTTACAGGAGGTTCTCAGCTTCTGTTTGTTGGAACAGGATGGACATGTAAGAAAAGATGGGGGGGGGGGGGAGGACTAAATTTTCCAAATACACTCCAATGTGACTTAACTTCTCCCTGAAATAGGTGAAACCAAAAGTAGGTAGCGAAACCATCATATCCGTACCTGACCAAGGAATTTCTGATGTCCTAAAAGGGAATAAGAGAGAAATAGGTCACTCACAGACTCAATAAACAGTTTTGTTCTCATCTGAGGGCCTATCTACATAGGCTCAATACATAGGCTCAATAGCCCACACTTAAGTGTGTTAAGTCACTCCTGGTTGTCTTCATGACATCTGGGGACATCTGGTCTTTATTGCTGGATGAAGCAGGTTAATCAGTTTATCCCCACATTAAGGAATTTCAGAGAATACTCAAGTTTTTCTGAATCTTTGGAGCAACCCTGCATTTTGGGCACAAATTGGAGAGCAAGACCAGGTCAGATGCAAATTAATCCACTGACCTCTTTGTCAGCTGCCACCAGTCCATTTCCCTGTGTTCATCCCTCTCTTTCTCCCTGGCTGTGTGGACACCTCTCTTGATGTCAACACAGGATGCTCACGATGGTCAGGAAGAATGCTTTGTGGCCATCTGGCAACGGCAATAAGGTGACAGTTTTGGCCCAACTGAACCATGTAGACTCCAACCCATGGCTGCTGCAGGTTTATACTATCTACAACAGTGGTGTCAAACTTATGGCCTTCCAAGTGTTTTGGATTTCAGCTCCCAAATTCCTGGCCATTGGACAAGCTGGCTAGGGTTTCTGGGAGTTGGAGGCCCAAACTTCTGAAGGGCCACAGGATTGACACCACTGTTTGAACCTACAAGGTGAGTCTGCTTTGGACCGGCCAAACAACAAGGAGAAAATGGAGATGAGCCCTTAGTTGGATACTTGTTAGTTGGACAGTTAATTACCTCTTATATATTATTATAAAATTATTTTCAATCATAGCAAAATAAGTTTTAAACCCATTCTCCATATTGTGGAGGTTAGTGATTAGTACATGGAGAATAAATGGAGCTGTGAATTTATGTTGGCTTTAATTAAAATAAATATCCTATACCCATGTACACATTTAGTCAAAACATCAACCCACAAAGCTTGCAATGATCCATGGACAACTCTACTTGTCCATGGATCATTGCAAACAATGTACCTTAACTCGTATATTTAAAAAAAACTATCTGCTTTTCTGAGTAGAAGGGGAAAAAGGGCCACCATGGTGCTGATTCTGGCCTTTTTGTACCTGAACTGGGAAATGATGGTGGCGGCCAATGGTGGTTGACCCCTCGAGTTGGCACTGGAGATTTCCCCTCTGTGGAGAATGACCCTTGACTTATCTATGGTTCATTTCAAGATCCATAATTTTGGCCCCATAACCTGTCTTCAATAATTACATGGGCATATAAAATATTCCTTTAACTCCCTTCTTGGCTAAAGAGAAAAGATTTTCCAATGAGATCTGGAAAGAATCTGTGTGTCAAACTTCACCTGCAGGAAGGTGCTGGCTGGCTGCAGGGACTTCTCTTCCATCTCTGTGATCAGCAAACTGAGTTGGGAAATCTCTTCAGTGAGTTTGGTGAGGGTTTTGTCTTGCCTTCTCTCCATCTCTTTCTCCAGGTCTTCCAGCTGAGCTAAGCAGAAATGCTGTTTCTCCTCAAGGAATCTCTGCATTCCCTCAAAGAGAGATTTGATCTTCATCTTCTCAAGGTCTAACTGTGTCTGAGGAAAAATATATCCTAAGTAAAGAAAGGGTTGCGGTAGAAGGGTGCATCTACACTATAGATTTAATAAAGTTTGACACCATTTTAAGTACCATAGCTCAATGCTATGAGATCCTGGGAGCTGCAGTTTCCATTTTCATGAACTGCTCAGAAAAATCTGGACATGCACAGCCAGGGTGCTTTTTGAGTGCGCCCTAGAGTAGGAAAGCTAACCTTCATCCATACAAGAAACCTTTAAACATGGAACAATCAGCTTGCATGGTTGATAAAAACTGAGGCTGTAACACAACCTCCTGAAGGATGTCAAGTCTAAGAAAAAAAACATTCCTCATTGAAGGAGTGGATTGAGCGGCTGCCCCTTAATAAACACAGCCTCACTACATGGGCCCCCAAAACAACTGTCTACCTGATAGTCTTTCCTTCTTAGCTCTTGAACATATTGTTGATCCTTAAATTCTTCCCTCTTTTTCCTTAGAGACTCCTGGAGGAGCTTGGTTTTTTCCTATAAAATAGAAGAAAAGGTTATGTTTTCTTATGAGCCCAATCCTGTGGTTCCCAACCTTTTTTGACCAGGGTCTACTTGAATCAGGGACCACTTGACCAGGGACCACTTGACCAGGGATCACTTTGACCAGGGACCACTCTCCAACATTAGTACCAAAAGAGTTACTAATCAGTTTTTGTCAACTTTAGATTCAGTTTGGTTATTTGGGGTGCTGATTCAGAAAATTGCATTATATAGACCACATCAGCTCTAGTTTCCAATACAATTAAAAAAATTAAAATTAAATTCCCATTCCCATTCCCATTCCCATTCCCATTCCCATTCCCATTCCATTCCATTCCATTCCATTCCATTCCATTCCATTCCATTACATTACATTACATTACATTAAATAAAGAGAAAGGAGACTTACAGACCACATTTTCATACTCGTGGCCCACTAGTGGTCTGCAGTCCACAGGTTAAGAACCAGTCAGTGGAATAAGTGGAGAACATACAGCCAATTAATTACGGTAGATAGGGTTCAGAGTGGTCCATCTGAATTATTCATCACTTTTGAATGAAGGGCATGGGACCTAGGTTGGCCCTAAACATAAACGTATCACATTTGTGGGTTTGATTTTGTGGATTTGCTCACAGCAAGTTCTGTGTAGGTTCACCTGGAGGAGCAAAAGCATGCAAGACTGTCATTTTGTTGTTGACCATTAGATCCCTTTAAGTCAGTGGTTCTCAACCTATGGGTCCCCAGGTGTTTTGGCCTACAACTCCCAGAAATCCCAGCCAGTTTACCAGCTATTAGGATTTCTAGGAGTTGAAGGCCAAAACATCTGGGGACCTACAGTGTAATGATCTGGCTCTTGAAAAAATGTTTGGTGGCAGATTGTAGAGGAGCCAGTGCTGGCTCCCTCAGAAGAGAAGGCTGAGAGGAGACATTATAGCCATGTGTAAATATGTGTGGAGAAGTCCTAGGGAAGAGGGAGCAAGCTGGTTTTCTACTGCCCTGGAGACTAGGACGCGGAACAATGGCTTCAAACTACAGGAAAGGAGATTCCATCTGAACATGAGGAAGAACTTCCTGACTGTGAGAGCCGTTCAGCAGTGGAACTCTCTGCCCCGGAGTGTGGTGGAGGCTCCTTCTTTGGAAGCTTTTAAACAGAGGCTGGATGGCCATCTGTCAGGGGTGCTTTGAATGCGATATTCCTGCTTCTTAGGCAGGGGGTTGGACTGGATGGCCCATGAGGTCTCTTCCAACTCTTGATTCTATGATTCTAGTGGTTCCTAACCTTTTTTTTAACCAGGGACCACTCTCCAACATTAGTACCAAAAGAATTACATATCAGTTTTTGGTCAACTTTAGATTTGGTTATTTGGGGTGCTGATTCAGAAAATTGCATTGTATAGACCACAGCAGCTCTAGTTTCTGATACAGAACATATGCCATCCAGTAGTCACTATCTGCTCCCCACAGAAAACCATATTTAACAAGCCTTGGCACTATAAGAGAGTTTATTGCAAGAGTGGTTGCTCTTGTTGCAACAGTGTAGTAACAGTGAAGCTGTGGATCATATTTTAGGTCTTGTGGACCACTGGTGGTCCACGGACCACAGATTGGGAACCACTGCTCCGAGGCATGACTCACCCAAGGCTGGGTTTCCATGGCTGAGTAAAGATTCAAGCCCTGGTCACCTCTAGTTTGAATCCAACACTCACACTGCTACACGAAACTGTATTGAATATTTCAACAGTTTTTGTCGTGTTTCAAATCATTTTGACAACCCCGTGACATTACAGATTTGTTCAGAGGGGGTTGCCTTTGCCATCCTCTGAGGCTGAGAGAATGTGACTTGCCCAAGGTCACATTGTGGATTTCCATGCTCCACTGATACCTTCCAAGCTGGCATACAATTCCACGTTGGCTCAAAGTCACCATAAAAGCAGGAAAAGAACCATATTTGACCAGACCAGAATCCCAACTAGGTACGGTAAATAAGGCTGTTCACACAGAGCAGGACTTGGTGATAGTATGATAGCTAGGTCCAGAAGCTCTGAGCATTATGTAAATTCCACAACGGTGGTTGTGAATATGGGAAGAGCCGAATATACTTCGTCGTTGCATTTAGGGTTAGGACAAGGTTTAGGGTTTGGGTTACGGTTAGGGTAAGGGGTTACGGTTAGGGTACGGTTTAGAATTAGGTTAAGGGTTAGGGCAAGGTTTAGGGTTTGGGTTATGGTAAGGGTTAGGGGTTACGGTTGGGGTACAGTTTAAGGTAAGGGTTCGGGTTTTACCATTAAAGAGCTCTTACATTCCTTCTATAATAATTATGTTTTGTTCTGCGTTGCGCAAACAGCGCTCCCAAAGGAGCAAAGTGGAAACAGCATAATCTCAGAGCCCCATATATATATGGGTGCACCCCCACCCTATATGTGCATGGGATTTCCAACCTTATACTCTTGGAAGGCTTCATCCAAGGGAATGACGTTGTGGCCTCGGTGCTCCTTGGATCTGTCGCAGACCATGCAGATGGGGGCCTCGTCCTCCCTGCAGAAGAGCTTCAGGGGTTCCTGGTGCAGTTTGCAAAACTCTCTCCTCCCTTCTGTCTTCCTTCCTCCTTCCTGGAGTTTCTGCACCAGTTCTGCCATGTTGGCCAGCTGCCTGTTGGACCTGAAGGTCCTCTGGGGGGTCCTTTCTCTGCATTGGGGGCAGGAAGCCTCTGGGCCAGGCTCCCCCCAGCACTTGTCCAGGCAACTTCTGCAGAAATTGTGCCCACAATCTATGGTCACTGGGTCTTTGAAGAAGTCCAGGCAAAGTGGGCAAGTGGCTTCCTCACAGAGCCCTTTAGCTGAACTCTCCTCTTCCATGGCTGCTTTTGTCTGAACCAGGAATGGAACAGGGCAGAGAAATTTATATTCTCAGTTCTGAGCGTTTGTTTGAAGCTGAGGTGGAGCCTAGTTGTGGGGCAGCCCCAGAGCAAATGCTGGAAGGAGCCAGGAGCCTTAAAGGCACCAGATCCCAGCTGGTCTTGGAAGGTAAGTAGGGATGGCCCAGGTTGATGCTTGGATGGGAGATCTACAAGGAATCCCTGATGCTGTGGGCTGCATCTCAGAGGAAGGAACTCAAATAGCCACATTTGGGTATTTCTTGCTTCAGAAAACTCTATGAAATCCATGGAGTTTCCAAAGCAAATTCCATTCATTCTTGGAAAATACAGTAATCAGAGTTGGCACTTCCATAAGAGACCAACAAGGAGAACTTAGTGTTTTAGGCTGTATTTCAGAGAAAGGTGGGGAAAAAGTCACTTTTGCATCTCTCTTGTCTAAGAAAACGCTATTAAAGCAGTGAGGTCTCCAAAGACCCCAATGCACCAAAACCAGTCTCATCTAATAATAATAATCATAATAATTATAACAACCCAGTTCACAGCAGATATTGCAGGAATTTCTGCCTTGATATTCTGGCATATAGGGCTGTGTGGAAGCGCCCTGGGCACCTCTATATTAGTCTTCTTCTTCTTCCTATTATTATTATTATTATTATTATTATTATTATTATTATTATTATTTTTCACAAATGAAACTTTGGAAAAGGAGACGGAGGGCCTAATTCTGGCAGCCCAAGAACAAGCCATTAGAACATATGCCATCAAAGCCAAAATTGAAAAGTCAATGACAGTTCCCAAGTGTAGACTCTGCAAGGAAGCAATCTTCAAGAAGGGAAAAAAGGATGACCCAAACGTCCGGTCAGCCTCACGTTGATACCAGGCAAGATTCTGGAAAAGATTGTTGAGGAAGTGGTCTGCAAACACTTAGAAACAAATGTGGTCATCGCTAACAGTCAACATGGATTTATCAAAAACAAGTCATGCCAGACTAATCTGATCTCTTTTTTCGATAGAGTTACAAGCTGGGTAGATGCCGTGGATGTAGCGTACCTGGATTTCAGGAAGGCCTTCGACAAGGTCCCCCATGACCTTCTGGCAAGGAAACTAGTCCAATGTGGGCTAGGCAAAACTACGGTGAGGTGGATCTGTAATTGGTTAAATGGACGAACCCAGAGGTGCTCACCAATGCTTCCTCTTCATCTTGGAAAGAAGTGACGAGCGGAGTGCCTCAGGGTTCCGTCCTGGGCCCGGTCCTGTTCAACATCTTTATTAATGACTTGGATGAAGGTCTAGAAGGCAGGATCATCAAGTTTGCAGACGACACCAATACACAGTACGTGTGAAAATATTCTTGGACACTGGGCTGTGTGGAAGGGCCCATATTTTCAAGTTCAAAGCAGAAAATGTGGAATTTTATTCAGCGGCATGGAAGGAGCACTAGAGAACCTTGGCTGCAACTCTATGGACGAGTTGGAGCAGAAGTTGACCACAGACACACACCATAAGACCTACAGATTTCCGCAGAACATTTAAATCAAATCCACAGAAAGTGAAACTTGCAAATGTAGACTACCGACTATACTTTGTAATTTTATAACAGTGTAGCAGTGGATTCCATTATTCATATATTTCTTTGATTCTAAGACACAATTCCTGCCCCGGAGTGTTTTAGTGGTGGTACTGAAATGTATTATAATCAATGGTATTTTAAAATCAAAGAAATATAATAGTATAAATTTCTCACATTTATGGAATGGGAATCAAGCCATATTGAAATAAAACCAAGGTGACAGAGAAATGATATTTCAAACAGAAATTTATATTTCCCATTGCAAAACTTCTTAAAACCAAGTAATAATGTTCAACTATTTCACATGAATACAAAAAAGTTGTTCCAAAAGAGAAAGTCTAATTTGTAATTAAAATTTGAAGTCAACTCTTATAAAAGTAAAAAAGAAAGAAAAGAAATTTGTTTTTAAACATCTGATTCTCATAGGATTAACAAATGGCTCCAGATGTAAATGGCGCTTTTGATGCAACATTGTTTTTTCTTCTGTTCCTCCTTCCCTTGTGAACTTCTCATGAATAGATCAGGATCATGGAAACTAGAAACAATATTATATGAAAGCTGACTGGTACAACCTGGGGATCACAACCAGACACAGTGAAGACATCTGCCCTTGCGCTATGCTCCTCTGCTGCTGAGTACGCATGCCCAGTGTGGAACACATCTCACCACGCTAAAACAGTGGATGTGGCTCTTAATGAGACATGCCGCATTATCACGGGGTGTCTGCACCCTACACCACTGGAGAAATTACACTGTTTAGTCAGTATTGCACCACCTGACATCTCCCGGGAAGTAGCAACCAATAGTGAAAGGACCAAGGCAGTGACATCTCTGGCCCATCCCGTTTGGAGATCAGCCAGTATGCCAATGACTTAAATCAAGAAATAATTTTCTAAGATCTACAGAGACACTTGGTGAAACACCTCAGCAAGTGAGAGTCCAAAAGTGGCAGGCTAAAACTCAGAACCTCTACCAATAGCTGATACCACATGAGAGACTCCCTTCTGGGCACACAGAATACTGGGTGACTTGGAAGGCGCTGAACAGACTGTGCTCTGGAGAGCTAACCTTAAGAAATGGGGCCACTAAGTGGAGTCCACAACATGTGAGTGTGGAGAAGAGCAAACCACAGACCACCTACTGCAATGCAACTGGAGCCCTGCCACATGCACAATAGAGGACCTTCTTATAGCAACACCAGAGGCACTCCAAGTGGCCAGCTACTGGTCAAAGGACATTTAATGGAATGCCAAGTTTGCAAACCTTGTACGTTTTTTGGTTTGTTTTTTGTTTTTAAATATAACTGTTTGGTTCACTCCTGATATGATAAATAATGGAAACTTTAAGTCTGAAATAAAGAACTAGATGTTCCACCTAAAAGCCAGAAACCTCTCATGTAGATCACCAGCCCTTGGTTTGGTTTTCATTCAGCTGCAGGGAATGCTCTCCAGATGTTAGATTGCAAATTCCACCAGTCCAGGTCTTACACTGCAATCCAAAAACGGCTGGAGGGTAACACAATCCTCACTCTTCTTCTGGCCAGTGGTGCCCATTGTTTGGTCCACCAGGTGCTCCCAGAATTGCTGACCAATGAAAAAAATGACCAAGCCTTCTGGGAGTTGGGAGTCCCAAACATCTGGAGGAACAAGATTGGACACCACTGGACAGCAGTGTTTCTCAAACTGCTCCTCCAGATGTTTTGGACTTCAGCTCCCATAATTCCTTACTGCTGGTAAGCCGGCTGGGATTTCTGGGAGCTGAAGTCCCTAACACCTGGAGGAGCAGGTGCTGTAGAAGGTCACCTCCTTTAAGGCAGTGGTTTTCAACCTGTGGGTCCCGAGGTGTTTTGGTCTACAACTCCCAGAAATCCCAGCCAGTTTACCAGCTGTTAGGATTTCTGGGAGTTGAAGGCCAAAACATCTGGGGACCCACAGGTTGAGAACCACTGTTTAAGGCGCCTCAGAGTTAGAGCACCTTCTCAGGAGTTAACACGTCAGATGGAGTGCAATGTTTGTGCAGAAAAAAGGTCGGATTCTCTCCCCAGTTAATGTTCCCAAGTAGAAAGTATAGATAAATTCATCAGTATCTGCATCAAAAAAGTCCACCCAGCCCTCTTCACAATCCAGGGCCACCCAGACCTTCTTGGGCTTTTGTCTCAAGATCAGAGGTGTGGGCTTTGGAGAAGTAAAAGCAGAGACTTGACCAGGTGAGGATAAATCGCTGACAGATTCTCCTACAGCCCAGATCCCGTCGCTAGGGTTAAAGTCAACAGGCCCCTTCCTCTTGACGAAGTCTATTGCAACTCCAATGGCCCATGCTGGATTCTCAAACAGATGTCCCTCAGGTTCTCTCTTCTCCTCCATGTTCACCTCAACCTCCCACCAATGTCTTCCAGAAAGGAATCTTTCACAGCCCAGCACACATTGCTCCCAGTCAAATCCCTGTGGGTTTTCGGTTAGTTCCTGAGATTTTGGACTGTATCTTGCAGTCTTCAGGTCCTTAGACACCAACATTTTAGGATGTGTTGTGCTGGGGTCCAGAGTCACACTCACTGAAAGGGAACGAGAAAGAAAGAGAAGTCTGTGTAGTAGATGGTTTCAGAAAGTTTGACCCATTATAGTTGCTCCTTTTTTGAGGAATCTGCATTCTGGTCAGAAGTCCCAACTAAACGTGCCATATGGAGCAAGTGTGAGAATCTAAACCATGTGATAAGATTAGGGGAGTTCACTGTCTTTACTAAATTGGCTTGACCAGGAGGACCCCAGAATTTGGGGCCGATCACCCCATCTTGCTTAGACAACAAGCTAAGTAACTCAAGCCTTAAACGAAAATACAAAGAGTCTTTCTCACAAAAGAGCCAGTTCCTGGTAGCACAATGGGTTAAACTCTTCTGCTGGCAGGACTGAAGACTGACAGGCTAGAGGTTCAAATCTGGGGAGAGTGAAGATGAGCTCCCTCTGAGAGAAGCCACCCAGAAGGATGGTAAAACTTCAAAACATTAGAGTGTCTCTTGGGCAATGTCCTTGCAGACGGCCAATTCTCTCACACGAGAAGCGACTTGCAGTTTCTCAAGTTGCTCCTGACACGACAAAAACACACAAAACTTTACCCACGCTTCACCTTTAAGACTCCCTGGCACACACAAAAAATTGTGTGAACTAAAGGTAAAAGTCTTAAGGGAGCCAAGTAGCCCAAAATCAAACATGGGAGAAGTTGACTGCATTTCCTTTCCCCCACTCTCTTGTTCTTAGAACAACAGATACTTTAGATAGAACAGGATTTTCTGCATGAGAAGTCCTTCTGTTTATTCTATCACCTAAATTCTCACATTTGGTCCACATTATTTGATCCCACGTCAAATAATGTGGGATTTTCAGTCTTGATATTCTGGGATATAAGTCTGTGTGGAAGGGTCCACATTTTGTCAACTACTTTGGTAAACAAAGGTTCATTACTAACAGTTTTAGTTGTCATACTTTTCCAAAAAAAAAAGGCTAAAATCCTGGGAAACACTAATTTCCAAGAGCAGTTTAATTTGTACTCAGCAATTCTCCAAATGCTTCTGAATTAATTAGTTAAATGAAAGTCTTCTCTTTGAAGTCTATCCTTCAACAAACATTCTCCCTGGTACTAATCTTTCTGAGGGGCTGTGGTAGTGCAGCGAGTTAAACCACTAAGCTGCAGAGCTTGCTGATTGGAAGGTCGGCGGTTCAAATTCATGGGACAGGAGAACTTGTTAGCCCCAGCTTCTGCCAACCTAGCAGTTCAAAAACATGCAAATGTGAGTAGATCAATAGGTTCTGCTTGGCAGGAAGGTAACAGCACTCCATGCAGTGATGCCGGCCACATGACTTTGGAGGTGTCTATGGACAACTCCAGCACCACCCCCTTGAGTAGGACTCGACTAGACTTAATGTCAAGGGGAAAGATTTAACTTTACTAATCTTTCTGATAATTACCTTTGTTCATGGTTTTCTTCAGTGTATCTGTTATAAAGAAAAAGAAGAGTGACAATGAAAACAATCCCTACATCTCCTCACAGTAAGAATATCATTTCAAAAAATGAACATTTTGCTTCCCATGATTTCTTTCAAGTTATTTAACTTGATCATGGATATTGCCTCATGAAGTACCACCAGAAAATATAGAGTCAGGACTAGTGTTGAAAAGCTTTTAAATTATTGAAATATGATTGCACAGGAAACACAACCTCATCCAGTCCTTTCCCCCAAAGAATAAGGCAAAAGGTGCTTTTGGAAGAAAAGAGAGAACTGCTGTTCCCATAGCTCTCTTCTTCCCATATCTCCTTAACCTGGTAATTTCCCTATAAACCTAACAAAGAATGCATTTTGGGCAACAGAATCGCTACTTTTTTCAAGCCAGAAATGAACCTACATCACCTTGGAAAGCCCCAGAAACCATTCCAAAGACATCTGATTTGAATGCACAGCCCTAAGGTATCTATATAACCAGTCTTTACTCACTGCTGGTAGTCATACTGTATTATTCTAGAAAAATGGGATGCAAATGTTGAAGTTCTTTAATACATCTAGTCACATTTTTACAGTAATCCATACTAAAGGGGAAACAATTCTTGCACTAGTAGTGCAACTCTATCTTCGATGACTCAAAAGTAGATTCAGGGTGCATCTACACTGCAGTCTAAATGAAGTTTGATAATCACCTTATCTGCCAAGGCTTTATGCTACAGGCTTCTCAGATTTGTCGTTTGGTGAGACACCAAAAGTCCTAGGCAAAGAAGGTTAAAGACCTTGTAAAACCACAATTCCCATGGTTCTATAGCATTGAGCCAAATAGTGTCAAAATACAATATTTCTACAGTGTAGATGCACTCTCAAGAGTTCCATGAGACGTATTTCCAGGAAACTGTGCACAGAATGTCAGCCTTCAGGACTACATACCGTGTTCAGTATTTACATTAGGATTGTGTGTCATTAACAGCTGGAAGGGGGTCATAGGATTAGCATGGGGATAAACACCTGAAGATGTTTATCAGAAAATTACCTGTGTCCAAAGCTTGCTCCAAATTGACTTGGTCCAGTGCATGCTCCAAGGACTCTATTAAACAGAGGGAAAAGTGACAAAATTACTCAGGGTCCTTCCACACGGCCATATAACCCAGAATATCAAGGCAGATAATTCACAATATCTGCTTCGAACTGGGTTATTTGAGTCCACACTCCCAGATAATCCAGTTCCATGTGGAATTTATACAGCTGTGTCGAAGGGGCCTAAGTTATGATCACATGCCTAGGAACTGCAATTACATTTTATATTTGCTATCCAAACCAGTAGTCAATGCTGGGCAACTCCAAAAGAAGCAACTTGCAGCATGTTCTACTCCTTGCAATCAATTTGGAACTGTCATAACCCCTGGAGACTTAAATCTATCCCTTCTCCTCCTTGAACTCTCAAAATCTTGATTACCTTTGCGACTCTCCACAGCTTTTCTTAGATCAGAATTCTTCTGGGAGTAAATTCGGAGTTTCTCTTCCCACTTGGGTGAAAGGTCCACATATTGGTTTCCTGAATCTTTCTCATAGCTGGAAAGAAACATGATCAACTGTAAAGAAGAGTCATAGACTGTCATACTTCTGTAAACTTGTGGGATTTAATAAGAAAAGGTAATTTTGGCATTTTCTGATGGGTAAGTGTCCCTACCCAAAACAGTAAACAACAACAACAACATTTTGTTTATAGGGTTGTAGTAGGTTTTTTCGGGCTATATGGCCATATTCTAGAGGCATTCTCTCCTGACGTTTCGCCTGCATCTATGGCAAGCATCCTCAGAGGTAGTGAGGTCTGTTGGAACTAGGAAAGTGGGTTTATATATCTGTGGAATGACCAGGGTGGGACAAAGGACTCTTGTCTGTTGGAGCTAGGTGTGAATGTTTCAACTGACCACCTTGATTAGCATTTGATGGCCTGGCAGTGCCTGGGGCAATCTTTTGGATGTTTCAACTGACCACCTTGATTAGCATTTGATGGCCTGGCAGTGCCTGGGGCAATCTTTTGAGAGGTGATTAATGTGCCTGATTGTTTCCCCTCTGTTTTGTTTATATTCTGCCCTTCTCCCCAAGGGGAATTAGAGCAGATTGCAGAATATAAAGCAGGTATTTTGTAATAAGGCACTGAATGTTTGTCTGTGTCTGCTTTATATTCTGCAATCTGCTCACATACACAGGCAAAGGCAAAGGCTTCTCCTTTCATTTCCGGCTCTGGAGATGGTGCTCATCTCTGGCTCTAGGGGAGGTGCTCTTCTCCATTTCCAAGCCAAGAGCCTGTGTTCTCACCTCCTGGTTGTGTGGCCAGCATGATTACTTGGAGCGTCTTTTTGTCTTTTCCTGCCGAAGCAGTACCTATTTATCTACTCACATTTACATGTTTTCGAACTGCTAGGTTGGCAGGAGCTAGGGTTAACAGCGGGAGCTCACCCCGCCCTGCAACTTCGAATTGCCAACCTTCAAATCAGCAGTTCAGCAGCACAAGGATTTAACCCATTGCGCCACCTGAGATCTTTTGAACAAACAGCTTCAACTCTGGACATTATTAATAGAAAGGAAATGATGAGCTGTGTCTCTCCTATTGGAAGGAAAGTGATTTCCCACCCAAAAAATGACAGAAGGTAGAAAGAAGCACATACCTGCATAAGGTGTTTTTGATGTCCTGAAAGAAAAAGAGAATTGGGTCTCAATAAACAATATTTTTCCCCACTATTCCAGTTATGTTTTTTATTTGTTGCCTTTCAGTGGCATAATAATAATAATCTATATAAATAAAAATGTAATGTTTGTTTGTGGGATTAACATCACTCAAAAAACACTGAACGAATTGCCACAAAATTTGGTCACAAGATACCTACTAACCCAAGGAGTGACCATCACTTAAAAAATTGATTTTGTCATTTGGGAGTTGTAGTGACTGGGATTTATAGTTTACTTAAAATCAAAAAGCATTCTGAACTCCACCAATGATGGAATAGAACCAGGCGTGGCACACAGGACTCCCATGACCAACATAAGCATTGACCTTGAGTTTGGGAATTGTAGTTCACCTACATCCAGAGAGCACTGGAGACTCAAAACAATGATGGATCAGGACCAAACTTGGCACAAATACTCAATATGTCCAAATATGAACACAGATGGAGTTTGGGGAAAATAGCCTTGACATTTTGGAGTTGTAGTTACTGGGATTTATAGTTCACCTACAATCAAAGAGCATTCTGAATCCCACCAATGACAGAATTGGGGCAAACTTCCCACACAGAACCCCCATGACCAACAGAAAATACTTAAGCCCACCCAGTCCAACTCCCTTCATGAGGGCAAGAAAATGTAATCAAAGCCCTCTTGACAAAGAGCCATCCAGGCATAGATATAGATATATATGATTCACACACAGAGAGAGATATAGTATCATAGATTTGAAAGGGACCCCTACAGAAGGACAATTATATGCTGCCTGTTCCAAAGTAGGCAAACCAGATAATCTCTACATCAGCACTGACAAAGACACAGCAAGAAATACTGTTTACTCACAAAGCATAAAGAAATTACATATATTAGAAACCAACACTTTCTCATTACTTTATTTTCCAGATCACCAGACTGGGCCACAGCAACGTGTGGCAGGAGACAGCTAGTAATAATAATAATGCTTGTCCTCTCTTAAAAGAGACTCAAATTGTCATTTGTAGGATCAGGCCTTCTTTATCTTTTACAAGAGGTTTCAGTGGAGCCTCTGTGTTAACTCTCACCTGAAGAAGCTTATTCGGCGGCTGCAGGCACTTTTCCTCCATCTCTCCGATCAGTTGACTCAGTTCAGAAATCTCTGCAGAAAGTTTGTCGAGGCCTTCTTTCTCCTCTTCCTTCATTGCTTTCTCCAGATCTCGTAGTTTACCCAGCCAAAAACATTTCCTTTCCTCAAGTAATTTCTGCTTTCTCTCAAAAGCAGAGGTGATCTTCTCTTTTTCTGTTTGTAACTGGTGCTGTGGGGGAAACCACATAGAAATTAAACAGAGGAACATGTGGTTCAGTCAAAGCAACTTGTCATGTATATCAGAGATTATTTGGAAAATAATAATAATAATAATAATAATAATAATAATAATAATAATGCATCTTATTATATTCCACCCTTCTCCCCTAGGGGACTCAGAGCAGATTACAGCATTTGTATACATAGGCAAACATTCAATGCCTTTACAATCATATACAATGAGATACATAAACAAAGGCAGAGGCTTCTCCTTTCATTGCCACCCCAAAAAAAGCCAATGGGATTGTGGCCTGCATCAATAGGAGCATAGTGTCTAGATCTAGGGAAGTCATGCTACCCCTCTATTCCGCTTTGGTTAGACCACACCTGGAATATTGTGTCCAATTCTGGGCACCACAATTCAAGAGAGATATTGACAAGCTGGAATGTGTGCAGAGGAGGGTGACTGAAATGATCAAGGGTCTGGAGGACAAGCCCTATGAGGAGCGGCTTAAGGAGCTGGGCATGTTTAGCCTGAAGAAGAAGGCTGAGAGGAGATATGATAGCCATGTATAAATATGTGAGAGGAAGTCACAGGGAGGAGGGAGCAAGCTTGTTTTCTGCTTCCTTGAGACTAGGACGCGGAACAATGGCTTCAAACTACAAGAGAGGAGATTCCATCTGAACATGAGGAAGAACTTCCTGACTGTGAGAGCTTCAGCAGTGGAATTCTCTGCCCCGGAGTGTGGTGGAGGCTCCTTCTTTGGAAGCTTTTAAACAGAGGCTGAATGGCCATCTTTTGGGGGTGCCTTGAATGCAATATTCCTGATTCTTGGCAAGGGGTTGGATTGGATGGCCCATGAGGTCTCTTCCAATTCTTTGATTCTATGATTCTAGAGGCAGTGCTCATCTCTGGGGAGGTTTTTTTCTCCATTTCCCAGCCAAGGAGCTAGTGTTGTCACCTCCTGGTTGCGTGGCTGGCAAGATTACTTGGTGTGTCTCTGCCTTTCCCCGCTGCAGTGGTACCTATTTATCTACTCACATTTGCATGTTTTCAAGCTGCTAGGTTGGCAGGAGCTGGAGCTGACAGATGGGAGATCACCCCATCCTGCTGATTTAAACTGCCAACCTTTAGGTCAGTAATTCAGCCAACTTTCAGGTCAGCAGTTCAGCAGCAAAAGGGTATAACCCAGTGGTTCTCAACTGTCCTAATGCTGCAACACCTTAATACAGTTCCTCATATTGTGGTGACCCCCAGCCATAAAATTATTTTTGTTGCTACTTCATAACTGTAATTTTGTTAATGTTATTAATCACAATGTGAATATCTGATATGCAAGATGCATTTTCATTCACTGGACCAAATTTGGTACAAATACCCTATATGCCGCAATTTGAATACTGGTGGCATAGAGGAGACATTGATTTTGTCATTTGGGAGTTGTAGTTGCTGGGATTTATAGTTCACCTACAACCAAAGAGCAATCAGAACTCCACCAACAATGGAATTGAACCAAATTTGGCACATATAACCACCATGACCAACAGAAAATACTGCAAGGGTTTGGTGGGCATTGATCTTGAGTTTTGAAGTTGTAGTTCACCTATACCCAGAGAGCACCGTGGACTCAAACAATGATGGATCTGGATCAAACTTGGCACAAATACTCAATATACCCAAATGTAGGCACTGGTGGAGTTTGGGGAAAATAGACCTTGACATTTGGGAGTTATAGTTGCTGGGACTTAATAGTTCACCTACAATCAAAGAGCATTCTGAACCTCACCAATGAGAGAATTGGACCAAACTTCCCACACAGAACCCCCATGACCAACAAAAAATACTGTGTTTTCTGATGGTTTTTGGCGATCCCTCTGACACCCCCTCCCGAACCCTCCCCCCAGGAGTCCCAACCGCCAGGTTGAGAAGTACTGCGCTAAGGCGACCAAGGCTCTTTCAGTTCCATATCCCAGCCTAAAGCCAGACTGCACCAGATCTACCTAATCGGTGTCTACAAAGAACCCTTGGAGTTGTGAGGCCACATGTTCCATAAGTTTTAAGACCCTGCAAAACTACAACTGTCAAACCACTGAGTCAGGGCAGCACAAAATAGTATCACACTGCATTCATTTTACAGTGTAGACACGTTTTCCCCCTTCTGCTCTGAATGAGAAACCAGTCTATCCTAGGTCACTCTCCAACCTGAATATCCCCAAACTCCAAATTGTTTGGGCTGCTGTAGAGAAAACACTCCAGACCACTGGTATGTTTCCCTTTCCATTCCCTTGAGCCGAAGCTATAAAGTTTCGATTTCCTGAGGATGACGTTTGTTCCCAGCAATCCGCAAAGCATACGAAATTCTGAGAGTAGAGGGAGCCAGAGAGCACGCCAAGAAGATAAACATCCTTTTCAGTAGGAAGCAATTTGAATACTGGTTAGGTTGGGGAGGAGATTGATTTTGTCATCTGGGAGTTGTAGTTGCGGGGATTTATATTTCACCTACAATCAAAGAGAATTCTGACTCCACCAACAATGGAATTGAACCAAACTTGGCACACAGAACTCCCATGACCAACAGAATACTGGAAGGGTTTGGTGGGCATTGACCTTGAGTTTTGGAGTTGTAGTTCACCTACATCCAGAGAGAACTGTGGACTAAAACAATGATGGATCTGAACCAAACTTGGCACAAATACTCAATATGCCCATATGCGAACACTGGTGGAGTTTGGGGAAAATAGACCTTGACATTTGGGAGTAATAGTTGCTAGGATTTATAGTTCACCTACAATCAAAGAACATTCTGAACCCCACAACGATAGAATTGGGCCAAACTTCCCACACAGAACCCCCATGAACAATGGAAAATACTGTGTTTTCTAATGTCTCTGCCGACCCCTCTGACACCTCCGCCCCCCCCCCCCCCCGGGGTCCAACCCTCAAGTTGAGAAATGCTGGTAAATTCCCATAGTATAGTATACTATTAATTCTAACCTAGAGATGCACTCCAAGTCTTTGGAAGAAGGTCAGGCTATAAAGCTAATGATAGTAGCAACAATGATATCTTGCATCAGGAGCGACTTGAGAAACTGCAAGTCTCATTTGGTGTGAGAGAATTGGTTCTCTGCAACAACATTGCCCAGAGGAAGCCCAGATATTTAATGATTTATCATCCTTGTGGGATGTTTCTCTCATGTTCCCACATGGGGAGCTGGAGCTGACAGAGGGAGCTCATCTGCACTCTCCCCAATCTCAAACCTTTGACCGGTCAGTCTTGCTGGCACAAGTGGGCTCCTATCTTGCATCACTGATACGGATGCATTTGGGGGAGAGGGGTCTTAACCTACACACGATCCCATCTCACCAGCCCTTCATTAACAATCCATACCAGAAAGCTCTGCATTCTTCTCTCTTTTGTTTCTTTCAGGGAGGAAAACTCTTCTCGATCATTCTTCAAAGAGTTCACATATTCCTTGAGCTTTTCCTGCAAAAACAGGAAAAAAATCATTTCACTCAATCAGTTTGGGGCCAGCCCGAAACTTCCTTACAAGAAAAATTAATTAGAAGAAATAGCTGAAAAAATATGGGCAGATCATTTATCCCTTAAGCCTAAAAACCTCTGCTGACATCTTCCCTTCACATTTTCGGTTTTTTTCCCTTCTTGAAGCCCTGATATTTTGAGAACACATTAAAGGAACTTGACATGCAAATATGTGGCACAAATTGTTGTTGTAGGTTTTTCAGGCTATATGGCCATGTTCTAGAAGCATTCTCTCCTGACATTTTGCCTGCATCTATGGCAGGCATCCTCAGAGGTTGTGCGGCACAAAGTTTTATAATGCTTTGAACTGTTGAGGTATAGAGTGTGCCTTAAATGCATTATGGAACTAGAACCACTATTAAATCTTAGGTTCTAAGAACCTAAAGTTAAATCACAAATAAGATTTGAACCTAGGACTTTCTGTTTCTAAGCTCTGTCTTTTACTCCTTATTTTAC